ACCTCTCACCGAAGACAGCTATCCTTTCTGATCTTGCAAATATTGTCAAGAGTTCGCGGTGACGCGCGACTTCGCGCTATAACGCGCGTTGATGCGTTGCAATTGCAACAGCGCTCCGGTCCTTTACTCGCGAACGCAGCCGCAGATGGGAATCGATCGGTACTGGCAGCTTGTATTTTTGAAAAAGCTCAGAATAATAGGAAGGCGAGCTCAGAATAATGGGAAGGCGGGTGCCGCCTTCACACAATCTGTTACTCTCTCATTCTTCTATACTCCCTAAAGCCTTAGAGATCACTGCCGATCGATACAAGGCTGTGTGATTAGGAAACGCATACCCTCCTGTTTCCTTATGCTCTCTCATATATCGATTCCCGTCTGCGGCTGCGTTCGCGGCAATTGTAATAGTAATGGAGCGCTGTTGCAATTTGGGCGCGTCGGCGCGCGTCATCGCGAAGTCTAAACGCTACCGTAGTCGGGCTCAACCTTGGAAGAATGCAGACCACCAGGGTCTCGTGGCGTGGCACTCCCCAACTACGTTAGCGCCTCATCGTCTAGGATTTCGTAACTACGTTTAATGCTATTTGATAGTTGATTGTTGTGCTAGAAGCGTGTCTACACAGCGACTGTAGCCGTTAGGTTCCAGTGAAACGGAGTGTGTCTTTTGTTTCATTTCACTTCTTTTTCATTTTTATTTTCTTTTCTTTGTGATACACTTTACAACATGTTCATTTGTATTTAACAATGTTGTTCTTTTACTTTCTATGGATGGCTCACTACAACTATTCGCTGAATGGGAAATCTAGTCACTGTATAAAGAACGACTATGTCTTTTTTTACATTTTTTTGTTGAGCAACATATCATTATTGATTTGCGCTTTGGTGTTCATACATAAATTTTGAAGTTTGCAAATAAATTTGTTTTTTTTCTTGCGCACTTCCTTTATCGAAAATTCAGATGGGCGACACTTTGAGCTAGCAGCCACAAACTACAGTTGTTTCCGTTGCAGACGTTGAGGCGCGTCAGGGGGCCTCGTTTGGCACGCGCTAGCCCTCTCCCCTCCTCAGTTCCTCCAGCAGTTATTGAAGCTGACAAGCAATAACGATTGGTGGGGAAACGGGTTGGCGTCGCCCAAACCCACACCCCTGAGACGCCCCGGCGTCAGCAGTGAAAACGACTAGATTTGAAGAGGAGCAGGTTTCACTGCGACCTAAACTACGATATGTTCAGCCTTA